ACGGGAGCGGGAAGAGCGGACCAGGAACTTGCCCGAGATGGTTCACGGCACCCTTCGCTCTTGGGAGCCTTGGTGGTAAAGCTTGTCACGTCACCGCTCGCTCTTGGAAGCCTTGGTGTTCAGAGACTTTTACGTTGCCGCTCGCTCTTGGAAGCCTTGGTGTTCAGAGACTTTTACGTTGCCGCTCGCTCTTGGGAGACTTGGTGCAAAGATTTGTTGAAGTCATTCGCTCTTGGGAGCCTTGGTGGCACGAGTTTGCCACGTCACCGTTCGCTGTTCGGAGCCGTGCTGTGAAGAGCTTTTTTTGCGTTACCGGTCGCTCTTTTATTTGGGGCCTTCTTGGAGGTCTGTTTGACGCCCTTCTGGTACCCGTTTGGGCTGTTTGGGGGCCTTTGGGGGCCGTCTTGGTTCCCTTTTGGTTCGTCTTGAAGGCCTTGGATCGTCTCGGGGCCCTCTCGGTGGCCTCCTGGTGCCCTCTCGGGAGAATGATTCATGGCAGCCTCCGCTCTTGGGAGCCTTGGTGCGAAGAGCTTGTTACGTCGCCGCTCTCCGTTGTGAGCTCTGGTGCTCAGAGACTTGTGCATTGCCGTTCGCTCTTGGGACGAGCTTTTTACGCCGCCGAGCTCTGGGGAGCCACATGGGAGCCATGGTGTTCTTGAGCGTCTCTTGGGCCTCGTCGGGATCTTCTTGGGGCCCTTTGTGAAGCCATGTGGGGGCCCTTTTGGAGCAGTTCTGGGCCGTCTGGGAGCCCTTATTGGGCGCCGTCTCGGAGCGTCTTGGAAGCTTTCGGCCGTCTTGGGGCTCTTGGGGGCATCTTGCGGCCCTCTTGGGAGCCTCTTTGGGCCCTCTTGGGCCGTCGTGGTGGCCCGAGAAAGCAAGAACCCATAACACTTCCAAAATCATGGGAAATCAACGAAGTGTGCCTCTTTGGGCCTTCTTGGAACAACTCTTGCAGGTCTCTGGGGGCGTCTCGGGGCCGTCTTGGGCCATCTTCACCCATCTTAGAACGGTCTTGGACGGTCTGGGGCACTCTTGGAGCGCTCTTGGGCTGTCTTGGAGCCGTCTTGGAGTGTTTTTGTCGCTTCATTCTGGCTCGATCTACGGCGGTCAGCGGGGAAATGACAGGTTGCACGGCTTAGTATGAGATCCGAAAGAAAAAATGACGACGAAGCCGTTCAACTAGCTCAACGGGGGCCTCCCGGAGCTTCGGCCCCCTGGGCGCGCCGCCGCCAGCGTGAGCGGGCCGAGGGTATGCTGCCTGCGCGAGATACGCTCGCGCGACACCCGCGGCCGCTCGAGCGAAAATCCCTTCGGCGCGTGCGCGCGAAGAAAAATGCCAAGGCACAGTGGCCCAACGGGGGCTGGTTCGCAGCCCCGGCGCGCCGTGCCCTGTCATACGATGTCTCCGTGCCTTACCTTAGGTCGGGCATGTCCTCCCACAGGCGGATTTGGGGAGGAAAACAATAACCAACAAACAATCAGCGATGGTCAAAACAGCGCGCGAAAAATCGCCCCCAGGCTACTTTTCACCCTTTTTGGAACATTCCTCCTGTAAAAGGACACGCCCAACGTAAATCAGGCCCCCCTCCCGGGTGGGGCGGATCGCAATGGGGGGTGACTGAAATGGCGGGTGAAGAAAAGAGCCCTCAATGGGCCCTTTTCTTCGCCCCCCCTCCGTAGGGCAGCCCCCATTGGCACCCGCCCTACCTGGGCGCGCCGCGGCGAGCATGAGCCTGCCGAGACCTTGCCGGCGGCTCCTGGGGAGGCACGGTGGCTCCGCAGCGGCAAAACTCTCGGAGCTCTCCGCGCGGACGGGATCGGCGCTGCCCCTCCCCCCCCTCATCTCCCCCCCCTCCTCCTCCTCCTCCTCCTCCTCCACCTCCTCCTCCTCAGAGCCGACATCGAGAAGCGTGGCGCCCTACATCATCAACTGCAATGCTGAGAACGGGCGCGAGCGCGCCCGCCAGGAGACTTGGCTCCCTCCGCCCTCCCCTCCTTTCCCTCGTCGTCCTGTTCCTCCTCCTCCCACCCCGCCCCTCGGCAGTCTGGCGAGCTGCAGCGCCGGCCTCCCGAGCGCCGCGGCGGAAGCGCAGGCAAAACAGGGTCATGATCAGCTACAGTGTAGGGATCAGGCCGTGCGAGAAGGCAAGCAGCGGCAGTTGGTGCTGGCGCTGCGAGAACGACAAAAGTGCGGGTGGGCCACGCTCAGCGGCAACGTTGGGAGCAGCCCGTACGAGAAAGGGGGCGCGCAATGGCACCAGACGCTGGCGCTGGGAGGCATGCGCTGGCGGGCCATGATCAGCAGGAGCGTTGGGAGCAGCCCGTGCGAGAAAGGGGGCACGCAGCGGCAGCAGACGCTGGCGCTGCAAGATAAATGCGGGTGGACCACGATCAGCAACCTCGCTGGGAGCAGCCCGTGCGGGTAAGAAGGCGGGCAGTGACAGCCGGCGCTGGCGCTGTGTGAGGGTGAAGAACGAGCCAAATGCCGTCAGCTGCATCC